CAAAAAAAAAAAAAAAAAAGGCTGTCATAACTCTTAAAACCTAAATTCATTGTTGTGCTGCAGTGTGGTATTACAACATTACCTGGTACAGAATAGCAGCAGAAATTATGGTCTGATGCTTTATGCAGTATAACTGGAATAACAGCTTGTTCCTTCTATCAAGTCTCCACGTGATGTAGAAACATTTGACTCTCCCTGATAGAAGGGAGTGATGCAATTGGGAAATAAAATCCAAGCCAGCATTAAACAAGCTTCTGAACAAATTAAGACAGCTACAATATGTTAAGTTCACAGCAGGAAGATAGGTAGCTTACTATTTAAGAAAAATATGCAGGAAGCCCAATTGTTTCAGGATACAAAATCTTCTCATAAATTGCTTCGTGCAATAAAATACCAGCTGTATTCAATAGCCTTGCTAAAACTGGAGTATAAGTCCAGAGTGCCATAGCCCAGTCTCTGCAAGTAACTATCAGAGAAACTAATCAGAGAAGTTGATGACAGATGACAGGAAAGAGCAACAATTCCCAGTGTAGGCATACTGAGACCAAGATCTTGTGTCACACATTATTTTCAATTATTCGAATATCACAGTCCCATTTAAATATTCATTGCATTGGGGAATGGAAATACATTTCTTCAGGCTCAGAATTATGTATGCAGGGGACAGCCAGCTACGAAGGGAAGCTCACACTGAGAGATTCTAGAGAAAAAAAATAATGATAACTATTATGTTTGCCATTATGTACTTATTAAAGAACATAGGTAATTTACAAAATCACAAAGAAAGTGTGATTTGAATCCTGCAAACAACCCTTATTTTTAAAGAGAGAGAGCAACAGTGTACAAATATGCCTGTACACTGAAGTGCAGTGAAACTCACTTAATATACATACATATAAAAATATGCATATGTGTAGATCAGTGAATCTGAAATTTCACATTTTCCAGGTTTCCAAAGTGGATAAAAAGCACATCATGGTATATAAATACCTTTGAAGTCACATCTATTCCAGTGATGAAGCTCCCAGCTTTGTTTTCATATCTTCTGCTAGTGTCCTGAAATAAAACAATCATTAATAGAACAAACTCCAGCCAGACAAACTGTGTCTTTCTGTAGTGTCCCCAATTAATAATGAAAGTTATAACATACTTTCCTAATCTGAAGTCTCTCCTAGTAACCCTGCTCTAACCTTTTGTCACCTCTCAATTCCACCCAAAGATCCAAACCAACTTATTAACAAGGGCCATCCAATCTGCAAAAACATTTCAGCTGCTCGCTCTTGTTCTTCTGAGGCTTTCTGTTAATTTTAAACTGAAGTAATCTGCCCTTTATTCACAGATGCCTTGTTTTTTTTAAGCCCAAAGTAAAGGACTGGTAAACGGCTATTATTCCTCACCAGCCTATTAGGAGCGTTCCCTCCAAAAGAGCATTGCCACCTGTGAGAAAGCCACCACCTCCACCATGTCCTCCACACAGGGCTCTCCAAGAGCCCATGAAGCATCCCAGAGAAATCTCCTCAGCTCTGCTGCTTTGTCTGTGGACTGACGAAGCCCAAGTAAGTAAACAAATAAATAAAGCTCCTTTTTAGTGCAAATCTGCCGGAGTATCTTGGGAAGGCTTTTATCTGGGGTCAGGCGGCCAAGCAAGCAGAACTGGAGGCAGAAGAAGAAATGAGGGAGGAAACCGAAGAGATCTTTTAGTCTGGGTCGCACTGCCTTTTTGTCAACGTCCGCATATCTCGGTAACTCCATTCATCCTGACACAGCGAACTTAGTCCCTCTTTTGGTCATGGAAATGCACTCTATACATGCACAAAGAGTGCCCTGTTTTTCAAGCCTCGGATCCCAGTTTATGTGTCTAAGGGCCTCCGGAAGCGGCAGACTGTGACCCCTCCACCCGGCCCGTTTCCCCGGCTCCGTTACCGGCAGCAGCTCCCTCAGCGAGCGCCCGACCGGCAGGGTTAGTTCCTCCGCCGATGCCCTCGCCGTCTGAGGCGACGTAGTAGCGGGGGCTCCGGCCTGAAGCAATAGCTCGCCTTCCTCCACTTCCATGGGCTCCGGCTCAGCCGCCTTCACAGAAATACGGAGGCCCCGTACAGCCGCCATCGCCCCACAGGCCCCGCTGCCGCCGAAGGAGGGCGAGACCGGAAGCAGGAAAAGTGAAGGCGGAAGCCATAGAGACACGTAGACCGGCTGCTCAGAGCGCCACTTGAGGGAGACTCTACGCCGGTCAGAACGGCGGACTCTGGAGGCGATTTTCGCAATCTTCCTTCGTCCCGCCTCCGGAGATGGGTTGCAATGTTATCTCCCCTCGAGGTCGCCGGAAAATAGGAAAAGGCACCTGTTAGGTGAACCTGGTAGTTATCAATGTTCTCAGTTCGCACAATACACTGAACCTAAAACTGACCAAATAAGATCTCCAACAGCGTCTTAAGCCACACACACACACGTCCGGACAGCAAAGAGATCCAGAAAAGTAGCTATTTTTGCAATCCAGATCTGTTAGCCCTGCTCATAGCTTATTATGTGAATGACGCCACAAGGTATTTAATTGACTTAATTAATCGTATTACATCAACATAGTCATCACTTGCGATCACGTGGCGTCCATTCATCAAATTCCAAACTGCCTCAACAAAAGTGTGTAACTATTAAATATGCTGCTGTGCAGATTCAAGATCCTCTCTCCCCTTTCTAGCCCCAAATGCCAGAGTCAATTATCACAGTCAATATTCAAGAGCCTTCAAGTAAGTTTTTAACTCCTGGTGACTGCCTGGACTAGTCCCTGCAGTTTTCTTGGCAAGATTTTTTAGAAGTGGTTTTCCATTGCCTCCTTCCTAGGGCTGAGAGGGAGTGACTGGCCCAAAGTCTCCCAGCTGGCTTCATGCCTAAGGCAGGATGAACTCATAGTCTCCCAGTTTCTAGCCTGATGACACCAAACAGGCTCTATTCAAGAATTAGCTTTCAAAATAATAGATACAGTTCCTTGCTTTTGCAGCCTGGCCATGCAAATTAAGCTTGTACAGCATCCCATCCCAAATACACAAATGATAGAATGTAAGGGTTGAAAGAGAGATGATATAGTCTGTTCCCCTCCCTACTGCAGGAGTTGTACTACTATAGATCATGAAAAGATGGCCATACAGCCTTTGTTTAAACATGTGCAGCAAAGGAAAATCCATCACCTCCTCTGGCAGTCTGTCCCATTGTTGAACAGCTCTGACTTGTTAGATTTTTTTCCCAATTAAAATAATTTCCTTGTAATTTAACCTTGCCCTGTCTTCTGGGACATCTCTGAACAATTGTGTCTCAGCTTCTACTTGACAGCCCTTCAATGCTTGAAGACAGCAATCATATCTCCCCGCAGTTTTCTCAAGGCTAAACATAAGCCAGTGTTTCCAACCACTCCTCATATGTTTTTCCTTCAAGACCAATGCTGACTAGAGAAAGATGCTTGGCCTCCATGATTTCTCAAAGATCAAAGACAATGGCTCCAAAATGGCATTTCCAATTCTTTCAAACTCTTGAATAGAATTGATTTAGTCCTGGAGGCTTAAGTTCATTCATGGTAGTCAGGTACTCTGACAAAGTCACTCAGATTCACTCAGAGTTGGATTCTTGACTGGGCAAGTCCAAGTGAATTTCCTGGGGTACAGTCTTGTTACATTATCTGGACTGAGTTTGATTCTGTTACACCCAAAGAAGTGGACAGGATCCTTCTCTCTGTTAATTCAGCTATCTGTTTTTTTAGATCCTGTCTCCTCCTGGGTTATTAAGGCAGCCCAGGAGGTGACCTCAGGGTGGGTCCATGTAGTAGTTTCACATGGACATGCTGACGGGTGCCCATTACTGCTTGCTCTGCTGCATTTTGAACCAGCTGTAGCTTTCAGATGGTCTTCAAGGACAGCCTAATGTAGAGCACAAAGGAGGGATCCAGAATAAAGTAGGACAGAACTCTCCCATTGTATCAGGTGGCCTCCCTCCCACTTCATTCCATGTATGCCCTTCTTCTGCTCTTGAAAGCTTTCAAGCTGGGCTTTTTTGAACACAGGTTTAGTGCTCTTCCAAAAGAATGGTAGACCCATATTCAGAAATAGCCAGAGTGACAGGTCACTGGCGCAAGGCACGTTGGACATCCCCCTCCCGTTTCACACTGCACCCTCGCCTGTGCCTGTGGCCTGCAACTCAGCTAGAAGGGAATATAGACCGAACTTTTGTTAATTGCAGCCCAGCTACAATATCTTCCAAACTGACAAATACTCAAGGAAACAGTAGTTCTGGCAGCAAGAGGCTGTCACTGGCAACACTCAAAAGTAGCCTGAGAAGTAGATAAAATAGCCATAGGAATAGACAAAATAGTGTTGCTCCATCCAAAGAAATAAAAACATAAAAATGGCCACATGAAACTGCTTTTCAGCAGAAATAACAGAGAATCTGTAATGCATTCATTTGGAACATAACTAGCAAACTCATAGGTGGCAGAACACATTTCTCTATCAGGAGAATGATCAATATAAATTTTAATTGTAACTTGCTTACAGAGACAGCATTTTGCTAGCTGAGCAATTCTATTTAGAGAGTTCCAAGTTGTAAAAAATTCTGCACAGCAGTGGTTCTGGATGGGTGGGATTCAGAAGTTGTCTAAGGTGACACAAGTCATGAGTCATACAAACTTTAATTAAAACTTTAGAACTTACTGCAAACTATAAATAGAATAACTACATGCCCATGAACATATAAATATTCTCAGAAAAAGTGAGCTGTTAATTTCTATCACAGTGAGACTCAAGTTCTTTGTTGAGACAGAGAATGATTATTGGGACTTAAGATATGAAAAGAGGTTCAGTTACATGATTTTGTTTCTGATTTTGCAAACTGCTTGATTGCTGAATAAACTGGGACAAAATGTGGAGTATTCTTGAAGGTTTTCAAACGGAGGCTGAATGGTTCCTATCAAAGGTAAGGTTGCCAAATCTGAGCTGCAAAAATCCAGGTGACCACTAGATGGCAACAAAGAGGATTTTTTGAGTTTTCTGTATTTTTGAAGTTCAGATCTGGTAGCCCTAATTAGGAGCAACAAATTTCCTATCTACAGTGTTTTTCTTTAGCTTCCAATTTTATGATTTTGTTTTGAAGTATCTAGTTCTCTCTTGGTGAAAGAAAGTGTCTCCTCCAATTGCTGCTCTGGATTTTCTTAGAAAGGGGAATAGACCAAGCAGCTGGGACTTGCATCTGCTGGACCTTCTACTCATAGACATTTGTCTGGCTCATATTCTTGGCTCCATCCCAGGTTTCTGAGCTCTGGGCTAGGAAATGTTTGTCCCTCTTTCTCACTCCCCTCCCCATTGAAATGTTTTCAGCATGATATTTTAAGACATGATGGGTGATATGGACAAGCTGCTGCTGCTGCTCTTCTCAATAGAAATGTCACCTTTTCATTTGACTCCTTGCTACTGGGGAAATGGTTAGGATTGGGTGAAATGGCCTTTCAAGCTGGCAAGTACTTTGTCTTTTTGGATAAGCCTCCAACAGTTATGTTTGTTCAACTGGACTTGAGGCTGGCCTAGCCTGGAGACCTTCCACCCTCTTCCTTTTGAAATAATCTGCTGTGGCTCCAGTGCACAGACTTTGCATTCTTCACCCTCCACCATAGCAACTTGTAAAAGCCTTATGTTGCTTTTATCTGGTCCCCTGTTTATATGCACAGTTGTACACACAACCTCTCACTCCTCCTTTTCATCTTCGTATGCAGTCTTTCCTTTCTTCATTTTCTTCGGAGAGATACCAGCACACACACTAAAGTCCCATTTTCCAGGAAGCTTTCTATTTTACTTCTCTGTAGCAGTGTCGGCCCTCTGAGATCCAGATGGCCCCCACTCTGCTCTTCACCCAGGTCTTCAGCGAGGGAGAGGGAGACCCCTCACCTCATTGTGCTTGCCATTTTTTTAAAATATAATTTCTTTGATTGATAGTTGTGAGTCAGAGTCGTTGAGAGTTGGGCTATTATTATTATTATTATTATTATTATTATTATTATTATTATTATTATCTCCTCTCCCCATTTCACATATCCCTCATGGGAACACCCAACAGACACTATCTTTCCAGAGCCTCCCATTGCTAGGCAGCCTGACATATCCCATTGCTAAAATAATTTTCTCTATCCCCAGATTCCTTCATTCTTCATTCTTTTTCCTTCCCTCTCTCCCTCTTCTCTCCCTCCCAGTGTATACTCTTAACTCTTACATAGTCCTTCACATTTTGAGGATGAACATGCCCTGCTGTTACCAGTCAGAGGAGCTGATGCATCAGACCATTTTTCAATTAACTGGCCATTTGCTACAGCACATAATGAAATCAAAGCAATACAAAACAATAAAACTGTAAAGATAAATTGTAGCACTGTTGTAGAAGGACAGCCATGTTAATCTATAGTTACCAAAAATTAAAAACAGTCTGGTTGCACTTTTTAAGGCTAAACATTTTATTAAAAGGCATAAGCTTTCATGAACTGCAGCTCATTTCATCAGATGCATAGAATGGCTTAACTACTTTAGGATGAGGTGGGGAGGGTGGAGGTGGGAAGAGGGGGAATACAGAGTAGTTATGCAATGGAGATTGTATGGGGGTCAAATTATAGGTATGTTATCAACTAACAATTGTAATATGTTAAAAGCCAGCTTTTCTGAGATTCCTGAAATCTTTTGACATATATAAGCTCAGCTGTCTCATGCTCAATTGTGCTGATCTTGTTTGTTTGTTCCAAACTGCTACTTTGAGATCTATAATAGAATATTCTGGGAAGTTAAAATGTTCTGTTATTACTTTGTTTTTATTTTGAGTCCTGATGTCAAATTTGTATCCATTAGTTCTTTTGCACAAAGTCTGGCCTGTATGTTGTAATAGAATCCACAGGGGCATTACTGGCAGATGATAGCATATGTTACATTAGAGGAAGAGCATGTTAAGGCACCTCTAGCCTTGTGTGTGAACCTCCCGGAGCCTGTGATGGTGGTGTTGGTGTAAATGTGGGCAAAGTAGACATCTGGGCTTGTTGCAGGGTCTGGTTCTCACATTAGCATCATTGTCCTGTTGTTTCTAGTTACTTGTGAGAATCTACTTCTGGTTGAGTGGT